AGAACAGAGCATTTTTTTCTGTACATCTGCTGCAAAATTCTGCCCTATATTCTTGCGCGAAATTCCTGACCGAGATCAAAATGCTGGCAAGGAAACTACCAAAAAACTGTAAACAATGGATTTTTTTCTGATGAAACTAAGTCCTGCTGAAAACTTGTTTTGTAGCTTGCTGGGAGACAACCAATTTCCCAAGCAGCATTCGGCAGAGGAGGATGGTTGGTAACTTATTCGTGTTTGAGTTATTTTATAAATTCTCTCACTGGAGCGAACACTCCCACGGAACGAATAATTTTCATGAGTTCCATGCTGAGCACTCTAAGTAGTGCTGCTGCTGCCGCTGCTGCTGATGTAAAGAAAATTAGGTTAACGAGAACCCGAAAATCAATTACTGAAAACCGACGAAACATTTCATAACTAATTTGTAAAAAAATGACCCACGGGAAGGCTGGAACAGCGCCAAACGCAAGGAGGCTGAAATCGATCCGAATATTCATCATCTGCCGATAGAACTTGTGCCTGCGAAAAGAACACCTTTGCCGTTTTATCTCTTTGTCACTCCGAGTACTATGTTATTCAGCTTTATCATAAGGATATCCCTCACCAAATAAACACAATTTTTCGGGACAAACATCGGTATATATTGAAATATTTGCAATACTTTTATACTAAACAACCTGAGTTCGTGCTTGTAAAAACTTGAACCAAAACCAAGCTTAAAGATACGTGTAACGTTTTCCAACCGTCATGTTCGGCCAAACGTTTGGATTAAGATTAAGATTAAGATTAAGACCTTGTGTTTCGTTTTATTAAAAACGAAAATTTGATCGTTCTCCATAAAGCCGGTTCACCTTGGAAGGATGTCATAGTTGTAAATATTTGTTATTTTAAAACTAATTTTGATGCATTGGTCTTAGGGTTTTCTCCTTCATCACCCTATTTGTTGATCTAAATGAATTTTTTAAACTGCTGCTGGTTGGTGAAAAGACACTAAAACACTGTTTTTGTGAGAAAGAGAGAGAATCCTTGATGGAGAGAGATGAAACTATTTGCATATGGGCACAAACTGCCAAATCGTAAAGAACTAGTGCCCCAACAACGAGACAACGCTAGAACACTCGTGTTTGATCACTTGACAAAACATTATCAGATCTATGCTACTAGGTGATAACACACTCACCTTATCTCGCACCGTCAAATCATTATTTCTTTCTACGCTTGCGAGACTTTTATAAAACATGCTGTTGCGAAATCTCACTTGCATTATTGTTCACTAAAAAAGATGGGAGCTTTATGTGAAAAATGTTTGACACATTGAAAAATTGGGTTCCCCGTTATCCAATGCGTTAGAACATAAAAAAGACAAATAATGTGAGATGGTAAAATTTATTTTGCTATCCCCATTTGCTAAACCAACCTGGTATTTCTGAAAGAAAGATTTGTGAAACAACAGTGATTTAACGAACAACAGTCAAGGGTGAGATGATAAATCAGTTCCAGAATCAGTCCCACGGTAATTTGAGTGATTGCGGCAGAAACTATTCCGCTCACAAAATCGTATTATGCAACTGGATTAACATCGCTTCGCAGGAAGCATGAGTCTGAGATTCATATAGCTTAACAACAGATTGGACGACAAAGTGGGTCCATTTGTCATGACATGTTTCGCGATTGATAACTCCGGAGTTCTTGTACTGTTATATTAAGCTTTTAAAATACCACAAAGATCGCAAAAGGTATTCGAGCAAAATGCAAACCTTAATTATTGCATAAAGTAATTTCCATTCCAATGCAACAACCGAACATTGAGTTGCTTCGTCAAGATATATAAACCAACAGTGTAGCATTCTGATGTTCTGTTCTATGTTTATTCAGATCACAAACATGTGTGATATTCACCTCGTGTTTGATGCATGGTCTACTTGAAACATGCGGACTATTTTTGACAAACATTTTGGAAATTCTAGATAAATTTATTTCTACTATTTACAGTTCAAAACAGAAATTACATTTAGCACAATGTTTCAATAACACGCAGCAGCATCAAACTCAATTAACTCATTTATTCGGAAGTAATAAATGATGAATCAGAGTGATCTTATAAAAGGCTTTTGTGCAAGAAGTGAGAGAATTTTCATCTTTATTTTCCTTGCTTTGATTCCGCTCCAGAAAAACAGATGTGTTGTAAACTGCAGTTGGGTTTTTTCAACTTTTTCAATTTGTTCCTGAAAATCCTATCATGATACATTCCATTAAAGGACGTGAAATGAAAGATAAAAGATGAAGCTAAAACTTGTTCTTTGATTGATTCATAGATTTTATCATTGCGATATGCTCGCATAGGTAATTGACTCATTATAAAGCTATAAATTTGTACGAGCATTATTTTGGTATGTAAGAACCCTACGCCAAGCGTGAACGTTTCATGGAATGTCGATGCACTGCAATGTTGATGGCCATTCAATGTAATAAATTATCAGTTACCGGTGACTTAAACCGATAAATCGGAAGATCCAACGACACTAATTTGGTTGCCTAAGACATGTAACCTGCAGGCTCCGCTTCTTTGACGGTTTTCAATGGGGATTGCAACTGTTAATGGAGGATTGAAGCCGACTGTCAGTTCGTTTAATGCAACTTATTGCCAGAGAGCTTTGAGGGAATGCCATTAGTGATCCTAAAAACAAATGCATAAACTGACTGGAGAGAGTAAGCAAGCTGAGGAAATATTGCGGTTGCATAAGCTGATCGGCATCGTACCAAAACGTTTCACGTATGCGCCAATCACATGTTTTTGTAGGCTTCCCGTAGCATCCTTTTACTGTTTTCCGGTGACATAACTAGATTCATACAGGTATCTGAACAGTACTACTGATTATTGGGTTATAAATGTACATACTTCTTAGAATTTTTTTCAAAAGGTTTGAAATGACATTGGCTCCAATTCGGTACCCACAAATTCGAAACGAGTCCTCCTCTTTCTGCTGATCCATGCAGATTCACGAAGCATAAAATCCCACCTTAACCAAACTTGTTAAACACTATGCTCGGTCATCATATGGAAAACAAATCAACAAAATGGAATGCAATCCTTTTATTTTTGAATGGAGAAAGGGACGGAAAGTTTGTTCAATTCGAATATCTCTGGAATCATTCTTCTTCACGGAAAGAAATAGAAGAATAGGTGTTCTGTTTTAAAGCATTGATAGAGTAGGCCCTAGAATATAACTTTTGAGAACCATATTTAAGAATGAAGATAAAAACTGATCTACGAAAATGTCACCTATCGGAGTAAGTATTGCGGTAGAAATGAGTTTAACTGCCGCATTGGGGGAAGGATCAATAGGAAAAATCTATTTCCTCATAGAAATTATATGACAATCTTATTTTACTCGGCCTAAATAGAAAGAATAAATCTAGTTAAGTGCATTCCTTTTTCAATCCTCTACGCCACATCATAGATTACCCACCTCGCCATTTCTTCCGGTCTCGTCCGAGGTGTACATACTGTAGGGCGGATGTTGCACAGGCATTTGTGGGACATGCCTCAGCCAAATCAGACAGCGCAATAGACTATCTGGCCCTAAAACACGTCCCAACTTATCTTCGGTCCAATGGTGCTCCCACCATAAGTGGGCGATACTATGTGGTTGTCGAAATCAACTACTCGATTTTGCGGAACTTCGCTGATAGCCCACGTGACCTCGTGGCTGTCATTACAGTTCTGTGAACACCTAAGTATAGTTTTTCAACTTTAAATAGAATCTTGCAACGCAGTGTTCTATTTATATAAGTAGACCCAGAAAAACGGTTACCCGTCTGATCGAGCAACGAGGAGGAAATAGTTGACAGAGATCAAAGCCAAAACCACAATAAAAATAAAAATAAAGCAATTAGTGGAGCGCGATTTGCACAGAAATTCAGTAGATTTACGACTGTCACTATTTACATCACTTATTTTTGTTACCCATTATCTCTAAGCTTCAACTGAATTGATTACGAGGACTCGAACGGAGAAATTCAAAGCAACCTGCGTGATCGGAAGTGTTTCTGCACCCTCATACCAGATCCTATTCTGATCACCGTTTGCTTCTTCAACTCACAGTCCATCTCGGTAAGCAACGCGTGCCTAGAAAGCCGATCTGGTGGCTTACGTAATACAAGTTTCAGCCACTGCAATCCATGGTGATAAATCTGTTGTATCAGTGCGCTACCACGAAAATCAGAGATTATGGAGGCACTCTCCCNATTGCCAATCTAAGTGTCCCAGAAGCATGCAACGTAAGGTAGACACAAATAAATAAACATTATTTTATAGGCAGTATATATAGTAGTGTGGCCGTCAGTGAACCTTAATTGACGTAAGTGGTCTGTGCTTTCATATCTTATTCCAGTGCATTCACTCACCGAACGTGCTGAATGATAAAATATCAGTTCCAATTTGGCAACAAGTCCATTTATTCTTCTGTGCTTCAAAATTTATTAACAAGTCGAATAGTAAGTTTTTTGTGTTTGTGCGTTTCTACAAGCATATTCATAATATCAGTTCATATCTCATAAGAGTATCAGCATCTGCGGATAGAGCATATCGAATGCCCGAGCAAAGAAACGATGTGATAATAATAAAGTCGAAAAGAAGCTGGTTGTGTATGTTGCTGACGGTGTTTTTGACTCCCCGAGTGGACGAGGAAACGGCTACCGGTGTAGCATATAGTGACAGAAAAATACAGTGAAACATCTTCAATTTTTAGACAAATATATTCTCTGCAAAGACGGATCGCACTTCATTCTGATAGCACAGGAATGGGCTTGTGGGTTGACCTTGATGTGAAGTTTTCTAATGTATATATCCCGGTCAAATATCACGGTAGGCAACAATGACTACCCAAAAGCTGATATCTGCCTTTTCTTTTGTTCGTAAATTGAAGCATTTCAGATTCAAAATGAGTTGCTGAACACGTACAGTAAAGTCACGGGAATAAGGTGCATTGGACATAATCGGATTATGTTTTCGTATCGCCCAACTGCAACACTTTTCGTTCCACTTGAGCCAAATATTTCTCCGGGNCCCGCCTCTCTGTGAATGCGAATACAACAAAAGGGGATGAGAAGGATTAGGAGGATACCAACCAAAATGGTGGAATGAATGATATCTTCTACTTATAATTTATGAAGTTTAAGCTCCCTCACAATACAAGTACCTATTATTGTTATGAACCTATTACTAGACCTAAGCGATTGAAAAACACGAGACAATGCGTTTCATGAACAAAGCACAACCATTGGGGACAGTAACCAGAAGGAGTCAGAGTCAACTGCATTACGTGATTG